GTGTTCCGCGCGGTTCTACTGTATAAATAACGGGGAAAAGGAGCCAGAATATATTTCGAGCGTTTAGAGTATAGAAAATTCTTGGTTCGCGTAACTCTATTTCAGTTTTCGTGAACGAGGCGCTGCGCATTTCGAAAACAAAATTTCGGACGCGGCCCGATTCCCGGAAGCGTGCATAAACCTCGCGGCGCCCTCTCATTGTTTAGGTGGCTGAAAACCGTTACGACGTAAGTCATATCTTTTCGACTATTCTTTTGTTTTGTTTTCGAAACTGTTGCGAGCTGCAACCCGTTGCATACAACGGTTCCAACTGACAAAGGACGGTCAGGCGTAGAGACCAACACCACGGAACCGTGACCCGTTGTAACAAAAGGTTTAATACAATGTTCGAAATGGCGACTCCGGAAAAATACAACACCTCGTAGAGAAGGGTTAGGTTTGCGACCTGGAATTTATTGCATCCTATCGGACACGATTCGCACTTTTTCGAATGTTAGTTACAGCGCTTTAATCTACTAAATACGACTATTATTAATTTCTTTTAACGTGGAGCAAAATTGCATTCTTCCGTTATCAAACTATATGCAAAAGTAAATGTAAATATACACGAAACAAAAATTGTCTCTAGTCAGACAAGAAATAAAAATTATCTCATTTACTGAAGAAAAGAACGATCTTATTAAGGACAAAGAAGTGTGAATCACACTGACGGTCATAAATTTAAGATAATGAATTTTAATTTCAGTTCGATACACACACACACACACACACACATATATATATATATATATATATTTATTTAGTATGTTTTGTTTTCAGATCTACAAGTGCACGTTTCAATTTGTTAATCTCAAACTGCTCGGGCTGCGAAGTTTTTTTTAAAGCAAGATTTTGGCTGATTAAAGTCCATTCAGAGGTGACTTAAGTTCTGTTCGATATATGGATTTAGTCGAGAGGAAAAATAAATGTTAACAATATTAAGTATTTTGCCATATCGCTTTCGTGTTAATTCATTTTGGGGTCGATATTAATTTCATTGCCACCGAGACATGCATGTGGCACATTTGCTATTCATCGACGTTGACCACCAATTTAAATAATTTGGGTACTTGAAGCACGATGCAATTACAAAGACTATCATGAGTTCACCGCAACGGAACGACCTTGTGAATTTCCTTAAAGCGTGACTATTCTCGTTTCTCTTTTACTTGTCGCGAGTTCGAAACCAAGTTTATTAAAATCCCGTAATTTTGCGAAGCTTTGATTTTATACACATCATGTGATCTCTCTCTCTCTCTCTCTCTTTCACTATATATATATATATAGACATATATATATTTGAACAGAATTTTCTAGGTGGGTATAATGGGGAAAGTTTCCAACTATTCCCCGTTAATGGAACGTCAGATTTGACAACAATTCGGGGTGCGGTGACGCGGTTGAAATTATTTTCCTTCGAAATTACTATAGCTGTATGTCGCGATAATATTTATTGTGTTACTTAGTGACCAAACGATTCCATTAGCGTTCGTCATGTGGCCTAAAATTGCAATTAACATTCTATATTATCTAATTATTGTCAGAGCGTATCCGTCTGTTGCGTGTTACATACGCAATAACCGAATAATTTATCCATATTCATTGATTATTACGAATTGCTATACTGCGGCCGATAATTATGTTCCAGTAATTAATACGTAAGTTCACTTTCAAATTCTTCGATATGTTAACTATGTTTATTCACGTTAATTGGATTCATTACGACGAGTTGAAGGCTTAACATTTTCGATAAAGTAATTCGCCACACTTTTGTCGTAGGTTTAAGTCGCATTGTTATTACACACACAGAACATGAATTAATATATATATATATATATATATATATATATATATATATATATATATATATCTACCTCAGAGAAAACGTTTCTAAAAAATATATATATATATATATATATCTACCTCAGAGAAAACGTTTCTAAAAAGTATTAATGATTAAAATAACAAAATTGGCAGCATCAGTGTTTCGTTATTTTATCAGTCGAATCCTGAAAAGAATTTCAGACGTTCTTAAAATAGTTTAAAACATTCAACACATTTGGTCACGTTGCTAAAAAAATATTCTGTTTCGTAAAGCGTACAAAAACATTCGCGATCCACCGTTGGTACTTCTATAATTATGCTCTCTAAAAACATATTCAGTCAAAACAATTTTTTTTCCAAGCATTCACAGCTACACAAACATCGCCGGAGCGAAAATATTAGCAGAGGCAACCCCATATAAAATTCCTCCCCCGATAGAATCCCTTTTGACTCCGTTCGTGGTTAAATAAGATCGATCTGAATCGGAACAATTTTGGCGAAGCGTTCGAGATAAAAATAGCAGCGGGTTATCGACTCATTTCAACGAAAAAGATCATGATTTCATTAGTTTCTATTTTTTCATTTAAATCGATCTCTTTTCTACATCCTAAAGTGATAGATAATTGCTGCGACCGAATTTGAAATCAGCTTGTCAAAATCTACGAGAAACGATGTACAGCATGTCATAAAAACATTCAACTGATTTTTGGATCAATTATGATTTTGTTGTAACCTTTATGATTACTTCAGGTTTCAAACAATTATCACTGAAAAACTGGCAATACTGTTGAGACCGAAAAATTTGAGAATATAAATTGAACATTCTGGAACATCGATTCTTTTATTAGAACTCGATATCTCACATCGACGTATGTGCAATTAATTGTAAATTTCGCTCTTCTTATAACAATATCATTTTCTCGAAAGATATCGACAATTTTCTTATTTTTTAACATTTTTAATTAAAAAAAATTTAGCATATTATTTTGAACGTGTGGTACTTTAAGAGAAAGAAGAAACAGTTTTTTAGTTTACCTTTCAATACACTTACATTTTGAAGGAGGGCGGTTAATTCACTGCGATCTAACTTTGTTTTCAAACGACGTTCGCATTTAGATTGAAAATATGTAATATAAATATCAGGAATATGAATGATAGTCGGCCGTAATTTTTAAGATATTCTCAGAATTATTACATTGAAATGCACTGCATGTAAAAGCTGAAATGAGGTCGATTCTGAAGTTGCTGATGATGCCTCAAGAAAATATCCAGATATTCCGCTTACAGAAAAGAGCACGTTGTCAAATATGCAACTACAGGAAAGATCGAGAAACATGGCGGAAGTGCGTGTCTTGCCAGAGCTCAATATGCGACATAGATCGCGTACTTACACATGCTGAATATGGAGAAGAGGAATACAAAATTAAGTAACAAAAAAACCGCGATTCCACACATTCCACCTATATTTTCTATGCGAAATTTGTTGGGAAATAAAATATGTTGAATTATTCAAAAAAGTACACATTTGCCTCTGGTCAAAATGATTCATACCTAACTTGAATGGTTGCCACACTCAGAATGCACAGTTCTTGACGGTGTACATTTCAAAAATTACAGGAAGTAGTTCAAATAGTACAGTATAATATATTCTATATCCGTTTGAAACTCACAAAATGTAACTTTGAACTATTTTCAAAATAAAAATGTTTTATCATTCTATAATATTAACCAGTTGATTTTCTTTTCACAAAATCTTTGTGATTCGAAACATATTAACTACAATTTGCTTCAAAATGAGAAGATAACGTAGAAATGTAATTATTAATTAAACCCTTGCCGTACCATTTTCTTCATAGTTAAATTGATGAGCACTTTATTGATTGTAATAAATTCTTAGAAGAAAAAGAAAATTTATATTTATCATGTTTGCCTACATTTACTTAAATGCTTAAATACTGATGACAAGAGAACAGAATTTTATTCTGGTTTAAAAGAATGTAATAACATTCACACTTAACAGAATATTATTAGAAATCTCTATCGCGAGTCAGACTCGTCACAGTACGCCAAGGAGTTAAAATAGTTAAATAGTTAACTTAGTTAACTATTGATTTGTGAACAATAGTTAAAATAGCTCCGTTTTTTTTTGGAAAATGGAGTTAGGCCACTTTCAAAATAAAACGACTCATACGCAAGCACTTAACCAGTTAGCTATGGCACCTCCTTTTCATAAAAAAAAATCGTCAAACTCATCAAACTCGTCAAACACAGTGTAAGTGTTAAAATATTCGCTGTTAAAATATTCAATCAAAGAGACGGTTTTATTTTATGAAATTAGCTATTTTATTATTAATATTTACTTATTCACTTAACATTAACATACATTGCATACACACAATAATCGAAAAACGCAGGGAAAATCAAATATGTATTAAAATTAAAAATTCAAATTGCTGTTGTAGAGTGTTATTCAGCAAAGAAAGAAACAGAATATAATGGCGTAAATTATTATCGTGAATTATTCATATAATTATTCACACTATTTATTTGCTTGTTTTATTCTGTCCTGGCCTCAAAATATTCTAAACATCCTGAAACTTGAGAACATGTTTTTGTTTCCACTAAAATTACAATTTAAATAGCCAATGGTCACTACTTCTTACGAGTATACTCGTCACGACACAAAATACTGCCACTTCTCCATGACGAGTATACTCGTCAAACCCAGCTAACTGGTTCAAGATATCTTTCATCGAGTTAAAAATATGGGTTATTTTGATCCAGTGCGACAGCGGATGGTCAACGTAGAAAAAGACCATCGCTTTACCGAATTTCCGAAAGTCCTTTGATCTTGACACTCTTGACTCCGCCGCTCGGCCCCGCAAGCTTTGTGCCTTCGCGCCGCACGCAATCACAAGCCGTCCGCCAATCAAACGAATCATCCGTGGCCGACCACTGAGAGATCGAGGGGTGCCGATCGAGCCCGGGGATTCGCGGAAAGTAGATTCGCCGTGTGACAGAGATCGGGACCCGCTCTGATAAGAGAATGCGCGCCGCGTGGGAAGCTGGGAAGAGGGGTTGCTGCGGTCCAAGCCGGCGCCCTCGCTCCACAAGTTCCTTCAGTAGGCGCGCGTTGTTACATTCGGCTGGACCCCAGCTCGAGTCTGCTCCGCGAGTCGCGCGTTTCGTCTCGTTCGAATCAAATCGTACCTGTTCGCTCGCCATGAACCGATCGACGAAAACCCCATCGCCGAGCACCGTCGCACCGTCAACGAGAACGCGAATTCAACCAACATCGAATTTCCAGCGAGCATCCAGAAGAGCCTAAGCTCGATTGCCACCAGGAATTCAGAGGTTTCTCGATCGGATCGAGGTGACCGTGTGATATATAGATCGTCGAAGTGTACTTCACCGAGATGCCGCGTTGAAGTTCGCCGGTGCCGTGACAGCGTCGGTTTCGCTTTGAACTTCGCGTACTTCGGACTGGTATCGGTTAGCCGCGCGATCGGCGAACTTCTTGAGAGGTTTCGGATCGTGGCAGGAATCTGCGATGAAGGATCGGGGGACCCGGGGCTGAGGATCGATGGTGGACGATTTCGTCGGACGGTGAGCACGTGGCTGAAGGATGCGCGTCGCCGCGGTGTTTCTCGCGACAACACGTTTCCCGCGGGCGTGACCGGGCCCAGGACGTTGATAGACTGTGCCAGGAAACCGTAAACCAGCAGCACCATGGTACACGCTACGGGAAAAGCATCGGCCGGCTGCGTGGCTACTCCGAACTGAAGGTGAGTGTCGTAGAGTTTTCCTATACGGACCTGTCGCTGGCCGTTTTTACGAGGCCGTAATCCTGTAACGAGGCCGCGCGGATCGTTCCCGCCGTGGATCTTCAATATTCCCGCTTCCGGAACTTCGGAGCTGCGTAATTGGACGGAGTTCTTCTCGGCGGGTCGCTCGTCGCCGGGCTAAGGGAATCTATTAATAACCTTGAGACGGTCCCGAGAAATCCGGAGAGAGAAAGAGAAACAGGCCGCCGAGAAACTTTCCGCGGAGACCTCGATAAGAACCGTGTTAAAGTTTCGAAAGCGTCGAGAGCCCCTGGATGATCTTGAAAATCCCGAGATTCTTCCGAAGCCCGACCAACGGACGGAAATACTTAATCTCTTCGCAAACTTTCTAATGCCCGTTGTCGTTCGTTGCCGGACCGTTCGATGACGTCAAGCCGATTTTCGCGGCAATTAGCGCTGCTCCGATCGTTCTGCTGGCTGGTTTTCTGCCGGGTGAATTCAACGGATTTTGGTGCGGATCGATAGTTCGCTTTTCGATCTTCAATTAACGATTGTCGCGGCAGTTTTTCGAGTTCTAGGATATGTCGATTGTGTAACTGTATTATTTATTTATTTATTTATTTATTCTTTATTCGCGGATAAGAATCATTTATTATACGGTGATTGATTACCAATTCGCCGCTTGCACTACGATTTCTTTCACGGTTTTATTGATTAACACTTCTTCGTTTTTCATCATTTCCCTGATAAAACGAGACAATTTTTATTGCTTGCGTGCCCCTATTTACTTTCATTCCTAGATTTTGATAGAAGAAAATTGTAATTTTGTTAGAATTTTGAAGAAATGAAAAGTGATCGACATGTGTTGCCTCGTAAGAATTACAAGATTGCATTTAATTAAATCGTTGACAATTTTTATAATACTGTGTACCTGACGAAAGTAACGTAGCCAACAATTTCTAATGGAACCAGCTTAACGACTTCAATAATTATGAAAAAACCGGTCATTTGTCTAAATACAAGTCTAAATACATTCATTTATGGAGCAACACACGTCAGTCTCTTTTAGTGCTCGATTGGTTTAATTAGTGTTAATTAATATCTTTACACGTTTTATCGAGGACTAAAGACAAGCTTACGTGGTTAGAAAGTCTGCCTCGAAAACTATGAAAAGAAATGTCTACATTTTTATAAATGATCTACTATCCGAGTGTTGGCAACAAACCAATGATAGGTGCAGAAATTGTATTTGATTCGATTTTTAATGTTATCAGGATGTCAGTGAACTTTCCTCACATATCAATAACAGTGTAACCCATTCGAAGGGAACACTGCCGCAGTCGTTCAAACACAAGATCCGAAATTACCGAACCTCTGTGCACGCAAATGAGAAATTGGTCGATCTCTTTACACGGAAACGAGAAATTACACGACCCCAGCGACACTGAATTCTAGGTTCTCGAAGTCAATAGCAGTGGAAAGCTTAGGTAAACGTAGAATATAGCGGGCACAATTCCTCGGGCGAGTAACCACACGAGAATAGAAACCATAGTAATTCCGAAGCGTCCGAGGCCCTTGAGAGTGTGCAAATTTTCGAAAAATTATGAACGTTGAGGGATTCAACGTAAATGCAGTAAAATTTCCAGCTTATCCTAGACCAATATTTAAATAGATCATTAACAATTGTTCATCTCTTTGTAACATTAGCCCAAAAAAGCACACTTAATCACAAATAACGTAGAAACAGCTCACAATAAATCGATAATCCTTTGGAAATAATAACACAAAACGTCACCTCATCGATTGATGTAAAACAATATACCAAATTTGCTGAAGAATAATATATAAATAGATCATTATAAATTGATTGTCTTCTAGAAATATTAGCACGAAACGTCATCATGTAATGCGACCTAAAAAGATGTACAAAATTTACTAAAGAATAATATATAAATAGATCATTATAAATTGATTGTCTTCTAGAAATATTAGCACGAAACGTCATCATGTAATGCGACCTAAAAAGATGTACAAAATTTACTAAAGAATAATATATAAATAGATCATTATAAATTGATTGTCTTCTAGAAATATTAGCACGAAACGTCATCATGTAATGCGACCTAAAAAGATGTACAAAATTTACTAAAGAATAATATATAAATAGATCATTATAAATTGATTGTCTTCTAGAAATATTAGCACGAAACGTCATCATGTAATGCGACCTAAAAAGATATACAAAATTTGCTAAAGAATAATATATAAATAGATCATTAAAAATTGATTGTCTTCTAGAAATATTAGCACGAAACGTCATCATGTAATGCAACCTAAAAAGATATACAAAATTTGCTAAAGAATAATATATAAATAGATCATTAAAAATTGATTGTCTTCTAGAAATATTAGCACCAATCGTCACCGTGTAATGTGACCTAAAAAGATATAGAAAATTTGCTGTAGAATAATATATAAATAGATCATTATAAATTGATTGTCGTCTAGAAATATTAGCACAGAACGTCACCGTGTAATGTGACCTAAAAAGATATACAAAATTTGCTGTAGAATAATATATAAATAGATCATTAAAAATTGATTATCTTCTAGAAATATTAGCACAAAACGTCACCGTGTAATGTGACCTAAAAAGTTCTACAGAATTTGCTGTAGAATAATATATAAATAGATCATTAATAATTGATTATCTTCTAGAAATATTAGCACAAAACGTCACCGTGTAATGTGACCTAAAAATTTCTACAAAATTTGCTGTAGAATAACGTATAAATAGATCGCTATGAATTGTTTAGCTTCTGCAAATATTAGCACAATACGTCACCCTACAGTTTGACCTAAAACAGCGCACGAAGTTCGCCGAACTACCAAAAATTTCTTAGGCTATAGAAAACTGTTAGCCTTCCTTCGCTCGCACAGCCGGGAGAATCCCCCAATTAGCTCTCTGCTAATTAAACCTCGCGAGCACAAAACGAGAAGGAACGGCTCGGTGAATCCGAGACAGTGAGCTGATCGTAAAGTTTTTTGGTCGCGGACTGTAACGGTGTAGAACGAACGTTCCCGGGCCATTTGTCGTCCGTAAGATTTCGGCGTTCGCTTGGATAATAGCATAGATAGTAACTGGACTTCAACTGGGTCGGGATTTTTACGGTCGGACGCCGAAGTTACCGAAGTTTTAAAGCACCGTAGAACCCGCCGTTGCCAAAGACTTAGCGTCTGAAAGTTAAGCCATCCAAAATTCTATTATCTGAATTTTCCTTGCGCCGTCCGCTGTCTAAACAAACGCGGAGTTAGTGGGCGACGCGAACGTGAGTCGCCTTGTTTCGACCTGTTTCCTTCGAACAGGAGCAACGAGATTTAAGCACAAAGTAGAACTGTGAATCTCAAGATGCCATTCGTATTCGTTCGATTCTAATCCTTGCGAAGGAATGAAAGTTTCGCGAGTTTTCTGGCGGTTTTCATCGATAGATGAAATATTAGTCCTCTACAATCTACAATCGATTTGTCATCATTTTAGAGTCATTTATGTCATTTATATATAAATTTTATTAAAATCAAATATACCGTATTATCTTCTGTAATTTTGCTACAATTATTAAAATAACGGCATATTTGATTTTAATAAAATGATAAATCATTAATTACTGCGTTAACGTTATACATATTTACATATACACAAATTTGAATGTATTAAAAAATAATAATATTGAAATGTTATGAAAATGATGAGGACCCTTCGTTGATATTATTAAGTGATTAAATCAATTTTTACTCCTGCATCTTGCATTTAACAGCAATGCTATTCATTTCCATTAAATTGAAATCAAATTATTAATTATCAATACCTAGGAATAAATTCTAGTGTGAAAAATTCATTTCTTCTGCTAAAAATTTACTTGACGATGAGGACCCTTCGTTGATATTATTAAGTGATTAAATCAATTTTTACTCCTGCATCTTGCATTTAACAGCAATGCTATTCATTTCCATTAAATTGAAATCAAATTATTAATTATCAATACCTAGGAATAAATTCTAGTGTGAAAAATTCATTTCTTCTGCTAAAAATTTACTTGACGATGAGGACCCTTCGTTGATATTATTAAGTGATTAAATCAATTTTTACTCCTGCATCTTGCATTTAACAGCAATGTTATTCATTTCCATTAAATTGACATCAAATTATTAATTATCAATACCTATAGGAATAAATTCTAGTGTGAAAAATTAATTTCTTCTGCTAAAAATTTACTTTCTCTGTTAAAAATTTGTCCTTCTGTTAACAATTTCCTTCGTCTGGTTAACAATATGTCCGAAACAATTGTTCAGTTGTCAAATTTCCTAACTAGCTGATTGTTTCATAGTTCGCCATTAGTTCTGGCGAATTCGCAAATTCCGCGCTCCAATAATGGGGAATTACCTCGTACGGTTTAGATGATCAGCAGTGTTCCGCACAACTTTTCCCTATAGCCACCGGTAGGAATTGTTTTCTCCGTGTTTCTCGGTTAATTAAAGCCTCCGGCCGCCCGTGTGTCGAAGCATTCCGTTGTTCTCGAAGCTGCCGGTTTGAATAAAAATGTAACCGGAATTGGCCATTCTGATCTTGTTTACTGCCCCGATGGAAACACGTCACGGGGTTTCGAACATTGGCGTTTATTATGTCGTATCCGGCTTTTAGTGCGAGCTGCAGCTAGAATAGCTAAGCCTCCAGCCGTTCGACGTTAGAATACCTGATATTTCGCCGCATTGTCTCGCAACAAAGTATCCTTAGAGTGTCCGCGAGCGGTTATTGAATTCAGCGCATCGGTTGGTTGTGTTTGCCTTTCGTAATGGGATACTTCGGACAATGGCTGTGCGCGCTCACCGATCCCGAATCGCCACGGTGACGTTTTGTTTATAGAATCATTACAAAAGCTGTCGTTTATTGTGCGTTCCCCTTTGACCCGGGAAAATTGACTGTTGAGTTCGCTCGATTGAAA